ATGACCATGTTTCAGAATACCGCACTAAGCTCAAGTGGCTCCCAATCCGTCTTCGTCAGAATACTCATATACTTTATGCTCTACTGCGTCTTATTTAATATAGCTAGTCCTTTCTATCTAAAAGAACGTTTTAGATTTCTCAGCTTCTGTGATAATTTTTCCTTACGATCCAAAGAAAATCTTTCCCTCCAATTTCCTGTGCACTCCTCGACTTATTATGACAAATCATTTTCTGTTCTTGGAGTAAGACTTTGGAACTCCTTACCCCAGTCAATTAGAAGTGCTCAATCCTTAAATGTGTTTCAGAAACCGATTAAGGAATACAATACTATTTGTCTCTCTAACCCCTCACACTTCCTCCGCTTAATTATGGTCATTGATCTGCCTGAAGAATGTTGTAATTGTAATGCATAAGTTTGTATCTTTATTTTATTTTTATTTGTATTTATTAATTTTTTATTATTTATATTTTTTATTTTAGTGCACCCTACCCATTGTTCTTTTTCTTATTTTGTATTTATTTCTTCTTCTGGGTTGTCTGGAAGAGATTGCTATGTAGCAATAAGACCGTCCTTTGTATTTCCCTCAATAGTTGTTATTTATTTTTTATTTTTGATGTTGTTATCTTTTCTTGATGTACACAATAAAGAGTATTGTATTATTGTAATATTTGTAAACCGTGAAGTGGCGATTCAGAATATCCACTACCCCATATCTTCCGGAGGGTGTCGTAAGTGGCAACAATGAGAACAGGCAGGAGATGGGCAGCAGCATTATTCTGATAACAGCAATATTACAATCAAAATACTGCGGTTGCCAACCCGCTGGCCAAGCGTGGCAACTATGGAAATTATCCCCCCATGATGAAAGTTACGAAGAGACGGTCCCCAGTCCCCGGCGGCCCTGCTGTTCCCGGCTAAGGTGGCAACCATGGTAACGGTGGGGCAGGGGGTGCTAAGAATCTCAGGTGGAGGTCGGTTGCCACCTAAGACGACTCGACCTGGCAACATACAACTCACGCACCCTGAGGACTGACGAAAAATCGTGGAGCTTAAAGAAGAGATAGACAAGTTACGCTGGCATATTATAGGATTATCTGAGATCCAAAGAGAGAGGGAGGACACGGTAATCCTCGAATCCGGCAAATTGTTATATCACCGGGAGGGCGACCATCTGTTCCAAGAAAGTGTCGGATTTATTGTCCACAAGTCTCTCGTTAACAACGTTGTAAAAATTGTGAGTGTGTCGACAAGGGTTGCGTACCTTATACTTAGAATTACCAAAGGGTATTCGTTAAAGGTCATACAGGTATACGCACAAACCTCGACACATCCCGATGAGGAGGTGGAGGAAATGCATGAGGATATATCTAGAGCTATGCATTCCCCCAAAACCCAGTATACGTTATTTATGGGAGGCGGTTAGTCCAACTTCGATGTTTGGAGTTTATCTGCATGATAAATTTATAAATGAGGATATCCGCAATAGAACCAGATTAACCGACGTAGCCCAACGGATTAGTGAGCTGAAGTGGCAATGAGCCGGCCATATAGCTCGAAGAACCGACAACCGATGGGGAAGAAAGGTTATCGAGTGGCAGCCTCGTACCTGTAGGTGAAGTGTAGGGCAACCTACCACTAGATGGAGTAACGACCTGGTAAGACATGCAGGAAGTCGATAGATGCAGGCTGCTTAGGACCGTGCTTTGTGGCATTTCTTAGGGGATTATTCAGCAGTGGACTTATGAAGGACTGTAATGATGATGATTATACTATATTTATTGAAAAATTCTATAAGACTATTGTAGGTGATTCTTTCAAATATTGAGAAGTTAGATAAAAGAGCTATGGGCTTATATTACATTTTGAACCTTTTTTACCATAGACCACATACACAACCTTCGCCAATTTCTACAGATGAAGGTAGAGTACCATCTGCCACTTTGCCTTGCGTATGTTGACTACAAGAAAGGTTTTGATTCCGTCGAAATTTAAGCGGTGCTGCAGTCCCTTAAACGGTGCCAAGTTGACTGTCATTATATCGAAGTGCTGAAGGGTTTATTCAGTAGCGCTATGATGGCTTTCCGAGTACATTACCAGAGTACAAAACCTATCCAATCGCAGTGGGGTGTAAGACAGGGTAAGGTAATATCCCCTAAGCACTTTATCCCAGCATTGGAAGACGTTTTCAAGCTACTGGACTCAAAAGATATGGTATTAACATCAATGGCGAGCACATTATTCACCATTGATTTACGGACGATAAAATTCTTATAGCAAAATCGCTGAAGGATCTAAGCGCTATGCTCATGACCTCAATAGTGTCCCAACGAAGAATTCTTAAGATGAACATGGATAAAACAAAAGTCATGTGAAACCTACATGTCACACTTATGTTGTTAATTGTTGGGAGCGCTTAGCTCCTACTTGCATCTTGCAAAACCATAACTTGCAAAACCATATGGGACTCAATCACCGTAGAAGATACCCCTACGTATTCATAATCGGTTTTCCACATCCGTCATCTACTTGCCTAGATGTCAAAAAATTGTACTCCACTGCCCTGTACACTGCCCAAGGAAGTCCCTTGCTGTACACTCAACATTGTAAAGTTTGAGGACCCTCTTTAGCCATGTACAAGGCACTGAGTCGAATATTTTCCTATAGTCTATTCAGATGGCGGAGAGGCTCCAAGGGTTGCATTTAACCACCTTGTCAACGACTGCGTCTATGAGGAGTGGTTTTTTGTTTCCATGACCACCACCCAGACATCAATTTTGAGCATCACTTGCGATATCACTTGATTTGAGTGCAGGTGATGAGTGATTCTCACGCTCAAAATATATTTTAGTATCTTGTATATGGTGGCAAGGTATGTCATGGGGCGGTATTTGCTTGGGTCTGTAGTATCCTAATCTTTAGAAACCAAATGAGTGATCTCAGTAGTGATGAGATCCAGGAGCGACTTTTGATCGAAAGCCTCGTGAAACTGTCGGATGAGCAGAGCGGAATACACCACAAGCCCTTTCAGCCAGTAGGGATACAGCCCATCGAGTTCCGGCCTCTTTCAGTTCGGGGGCTCTACGGACCCCTTAGCTACGTTGTCCGGAGTTATGATGAGAGAGTACATGGGCGGTACATTCGCACACTGACGAGCCGCAACTTTCGTACAAGGGCTCTCGCTGTGGTTTACGGGAACTGACCACAGGTCGTGCCAGAATTTACCAGTTTTGGCCTGATTCTGATCACTCTGGAAGAAGGTATCCTTTGGGTACGATACAACTATGGGAAATACTCATTAAATATTACATACTTGATAAACAAATAATGTGTTATTTATAATAAAGGAAGATTTTTAGTGTCATTATAATAAACATGAGTAGTATTTAGGATAATTTATTTATAATATGCAAGTATTGTAAATAATATTTATGTTGTTTTAATTTTATATGTTTCCATATGTAAATAGATTTTTATCCGCATTTTACGCACATATAGATGCGCAGATGATCGTCGTAGTCTACGCGTAGCCAAAGAACGGATAGGTCCGAACCTTCAAGTCTGTCGAGGTGTCGAGAACAGATATCCTCTCTGACGTATACGCAAACTCCAGCCCGAAGCATAAAGGAGTATTCCAATTTGCACGCCGGGTAAGAGAGAGAGATTCTCAGTACTGGTTACATATCTTATTTTTTCGCCCTCATGGCCATAATAACTCGGAAAAACATCTCTCTTAAAATAAGTAAGATCCCAAAAGTTTGTTTTCATAACTAAAGTCAAGGAAGAGAGTTTTGAATTAACACAAGTTTTATATTTATTTTGTCATATAATAGTAGATACTTGAAGTAGATATAGTTATTAATTTCTTTAAAACAATTATTAAAGTTTTATAAATTATATAACAATTGTGTAAGAAATATAACGCAAAGGTGATAATTTACTTTTGTAATTACAATTGATTTACGTGGTAGAGCTATACTGCAGCTATATTAGTGATACCTAGTCAGGTCATAAATTCTGTCACATGTTTAATATAAAATAATTGAAACAAGTTTATTCATTATGTAACCATTTATATACCAAAATGAACTTAACAAAACATAGATTCTTATGACACAAAAGTTTATTCAAAATGACCTCCGTGATTTTGAATACAGGCCTTCAATCTGCGCGGCCAGTCGTCTATCGCAGCACGAACGAGGTCCATGTCAGTATCGGCGGCTGCCTTAATCAAGGATGTCTTGAGTGACTCCAAATTGGAATGAGGCTTTGAGCATTCCTTTTACTCCAAGTGTTGCTATATCTTGTAATCTAACGGATTCAAATCTCGACTGGAGGAGGGCCAGTCTTCGTGCCGGATGAAGTCGATTTCACGCGCCGCCAGCCAGTCTTGTGTGCTCTTCGCTCTATGAGCTGGCGCCGAATCTTGTTGGAATACCCAGTGCCTGTTATTGAACATGGTATGAGAAACAGGTTCTACAAGGTTCGACAGGACTGTATTTTGATACACAACTGCATTCGTTTTTACACCTTTCTCACAAAATGTACCTCTGTTAAGCCCCAATAAGAAACTCCCAACCATACCATGAGCGAGGATGGAAAATGACCTCGTTGGACACGCGGAATACGGTTGCTTGCTTCTTCACTACTGTGTGCGTACACCCTATCATTTTGTTTATTGTAGCTCTCTTCTACGGTAAAAATTTTTTCATCCGAAAAATGAATTTCCCGATATTTTTTTCCCGCGTACCGCTTCAACAAAGCGCGGCATCTCTTCAGTCTCAGGTCCATTAGACGAGCATTCAAACGATGTCCTGTTTTTTTTCGATATGCCCTGTGATATATGTAGGTATAAATTAATATTGTATTATGTATGACATGCTATGAAGTCACACCGTGTTTTATTATTAAAATACCGAGTTATCCAGAATCTCTCAGTGGCGACGAGGATAGCAACGAACTCTTGGAAAAGTATTTGTAAACGACAAGTATTTAACTAAAATGTCGATTGGAAGAATTCCTGAGTTTGACCTACATAAGGACGATTGGAGGTCATACGTCGACCGCCTCGAACAATATTTTGTTGTCAACAAAATTTCGGAGGATTTACAAGTTCCGACGTTAATTACCGTGATGGGAGCCGAGTGTTACGAACTGTTAGTGAATTTATGTACTCCAACCAAACCAAAAGATAAATCTTTTTTGGAAATCACAAACATTCTAGAAAAACATCTCCAACCAAAACCAAGTACCCTCGCAGAAAGATATAAATTCCGGCATAGGAAACAAAAAAGTTGTGAAACAATAGCGGAGTATGCAGCAATATTGAAGAGGATGTCGAAATCTTGTGAATTTGGTCAATGGTTGGAAGAAAGTTTAAGAGATCAGCTGGTGTGCGGTATTCTAAGTGAAACTATAAGGCAACGACTATTCGCAGAAGGCACGTTGGAATATGGGAAAGCGTATAGCTTGGCAGTGAACATGGAGGCGGCGGAGAAGGATGCAGCGGCTGTGGAAGGATACGGGCAAGGTGAATCGTCGGGCAGCTCGAGCACGGCTGAGTGCCAGGCGATGGCAGCGACTCGACGTGGCAACGGACGCGGTCGGCCAGGGAGGACGGCACCTACGGCATCGAGGTGGCAGCGGCAGCAAGGAAAAGCAGCGGACGGAGCACAACAATGTGCTGCGTGCGGTGGACCCCATGGCGGCACGAAGTGTCGGTTCGCGGCATATGTGTGCAGAGTATGTAATCGTAAGGGGCATCTACGTCGGATGTGCCCAAACCTGACGACGTACCATCACGTAGACATCGGAACACCTAAAGTGGTCGAATCGGACGAGACGGACAGTGACGAGGTAAGAATATTTGATATAAAAAAATTGTCCATAGAAGAGTGTACACCGCTATGTATTTCAATCAACGTTCACGGAAAAGATATTGACATGGAGTGTGACACGGGTAGCGCCGTATCTTGTATAAGTTACAAATTTTATAAACATAATTTTAGTGATTTACCTATCAGCAAATGTAATGTTTTACTTAGATATTACACAGGTGAAATAGTTCGTCCGGTGGGGGTGGCTACGCCACTAGTGAGGTATAAAAATACACAAAAAAAATTAAATTTGTTCATAATCAGAGATGGTAAAACCGTTCTTTTGGGTCGACAGTGGTTAGCCGAACTTAAAATTCAACTACCAGTGTTTCAGTATCACGATGTAAACAATGTTAATTATAAGGATTTTGACGAAAGTAATTTTATGTATAGATTCAGTGAAGTATTTGCGGATGGGCTTGGACGGTTCAGCGGCGGGCGGGTTAGCATCCACCTGCGGCAGGGGGCGCGGCCGGTGTTCATGCGCGCGCGTCCTCTGGCGTATGCGCTGCGGGAACCGGTGGAGCGAGCGCTCGAGCAGCTGGTGCGAGACGGCGTCCTCACGCCGGTGGAGCGCTCCGACTGGGCCACACCCATTGTACCCGTTCTCAAAAAGGATGGTAATATTAGAATATGCGCTGATTATAAATTAACACTGAATAAAGTGCTAGAAGTCAACTGTTATCCCTTGCCACGCATAGATGATTTGTTATCGCGTTTACATGGCGGTGAACGTTTCAGTAAGATTGATTTATCTCAGGCGTACGCTTAGTTGGAGCTTGACGAATCAAAAAAGTATACGGTTATCAATACACATAAGGGTTTATACATGTACAATCGACTAGTTTACGGCTTGTCGTCGAGTCCAGGAATTTTTCAAAAACACTTAGAAGAATTATTGACAGGGTTACCGAACGTGGGTGTATTTTTAGATGACGTAATTATAACGGGTCCTGATAGTCGTAGTCACATAAAAAATTTATATAAAGTGTTCGAGCGATTGCAGTCTCACGGGTTGCGCGTTAAGAAAGAAAAATGTGTATTTTTCGCAGAATCTATTAACTACTTAGGGCACGTCATTAGTAAAGAGGGTGTTCACACGTGTCCGGAAAAAGTCCGGGCAATTGTAAACACGCCTGCACCCACCAATATTTCAGAACTGCGATCTTTCATTGGGCTAGTAATGTATTATGGTAAATTCGTACGAAATGTTAGTTCATTGCTGGCCCCGTTATATCGTTTGCTAAAAACCGGGGTTCGATTCCTGTGGAGTACTGAGTGTCAATTGGCATTCAATGAAGTAAAAAAAATATTAAGTTCGAGCGAAGTGCTTGCTCATTATACGTTAGACTTACCCGTGGTACTGACGGCGGACGCCAGCGGGGTCGGAGTCAGCGCCGTGATATCGCATATCACTGAGGAGGGAGAGCGGCCGATCGCATATGCGTCGCGTACTCTCAGCGCGGCCGAGCGGGCCTATGCGCAGATAGATCGAGAGGCCTTAGCAATAATATTCGGTATTAAAAAGTTTCATCAGTACTTATATGGTAGAAAATTCTTTAAGGACTGATCACAAACCCTTGACGTATATTTTCGGCAGTAAAGTGGGCATTCCAGTTATGGCCGCTTCGAGATTACAGCGTTGGGCAGTATTATTGTCGGGATACAATTATGACATAGAATATGTAAGTTTACACAAAAATTGTGCAGATGCGTTATCTCGTTTGCCGCAACCGGTACATAAACGGCTTCCGAAGTCGGAGGGAATGAATTACATTAATTTCGTAGAAAATTTTCTCCCGGTCACAAATGATGACGTCAGAACGGCAACAGCAAGCGATCCGGAATTAAGTAGAATTTTAACCTATGTTCAGTCCGGATGGCCCGCGTCCTGCCCAAAAGAAGTGTTGCAGCAATATTATATTAAACGTAATGAACTATACATAGATAGGGGCTGTATTATGTGGGGTTACCGCTTGGTGATACCGCGCACTTTAAGAAAAAAAATACTTATGCAATTACATACTGGTCACATGGGCATTGTTAAAACTAAGTCCATAGCTCGAAGTTACGTATGGTGGCCTAATATAGATACAGACGTCGAATCCGAATGCCGAGCATGTGAGACGTGCGCGGTGGAGTCACAAGCACCCCCGCGCACCCCACCGCAGCCTTGGCCGTACCATTTGCAGCCATGGAGCAGACTCCATATAGATTTTTTAGGCCCTTTTAACGGAAAAAAATTTCTTATTTTAATAGACTCCAGTACGAAATGGCTAGAAGTGTTTGAAATGCCAAAAACAAATGCTACAGCGGTTATTAAGGTATTACGGTGTACGTTCGCAAGATTCGGCTTACCACTAGAGCTAGTATCGGATCAAGGGCCACCCTTCACTAGCGCGGAATTTAAGGAGTTTTTAACATGAAATCGTATTCAGCAACGTTTCTCGCCTGCTTATCACCCGTCTTCGAATGGCGCCGCGGAAAATGCTGTAAATATTTGTAAAAAAGCAATAAAAAAGCACATAGGGAATCAATCGATGTTGACGCCGCGTTGCAAACATTTTTACTTACTTATCGTAACCGTATACACAGCAGCACAGGTGAAAGCCCTTCAATGCTGTTACAAAAACGAACGTTACGATCACGGCTAGACTTATTACGAAGCGATCGCGCGCTCATAAATAAGGTAAATCAGGCTCAAAGTAAGCAAGTGGAGTACACGGGCGGGGTGCAGCGCTCGTTTGCACCGGGGGAACCTGTGTGGGTGCGAGAGTACGGCCACAAGGATAGGTGGGTGAAGGGAACGATAGTTCATGGCGAAGGTTCGAGGAGATATTCTGTGGACAAGGGGGACAGTCGACAAGTAGTTAAGCACGTTGATCAAATCAAGCGCAGATCAGGGTTGTACGACATACCATTCCCTGAGGAGCAAAGCGAGTCAATGAGGGTACAAATACCTGATAGTAGTGGCTCGGCGAGAGACGGAATGTCGAAGGAGGACGACGGCCCGGACACATCTCCGACTACGGTTGTGGGTGATTCGGGAAAGGAGAGGAAACGGGTTTCGAGTGAACGCATTAAAAGTCCTGGAATCGAATATAGTACACCGCCAACGTCACCTAGTGCACCGTCGCCTGAACCGCCTCGAGCCCGATCCGGGCGAGTTCGTAAACCTGTTGTTAGGTTTCAAGCATCGAGCAGCGTGGGAGGCTCAGAGAGCTCCCGACGCGTGGAGCCTGGGACCGCGGAGACCAGTAAGTTCTTCCGCAAGCGGTCCAGGCGGGATGGCGACCAGGGGTCGTCAGCCGGAGAAGAGGAGACTTCGGCCCGGAAAATCCCCACCAACAGGCGGGGCGGGCTGAGAGGCAAGGGGAGGGGGCCCTCTGACAATCAGAGGGCCGAACAAGCGGCAAAGCATGCCGAGGAGGGGCGCCACCCGGGCGATACGGCTCGGGTATCAGGCGAAGAGACGGATGCGACTGGCGGCTCCGAGGTGGAGCGTAAGGCCAGATTCGTAAAGGAGGTGGAGGCCGCGATCAAGGTCGTGGCCCACAAGCAAAAGGCCTCCTCAAAGTTAAAGGCCATTCCCGCGGCCTCCGCCTCCATCATGGCGGCTGCGGAGGCCAACTTTGTTGGGGCCGAGCTTAATGTAAACGAGGTAGCGGAGCTGCGGGCGGAAGTGGCCCGCCTGACGTCCGCCATGGAGACTCTCCAGAAGGAGAACGAGAAGCTCCGCGCAGACCTGGCCAGTCTACGTGAGCCTGCCTCTCGCGCGGCGCCCCAGACGCAGCGCCCAAGCCAGCCCGTGCCGGTGGAGAACCAGGTTCTGAACCTGGTCCGGCAGGAGCTGGCTGCCTTCCAGCACCGGTTCTCCGTGCTGGAGGGCATCGTCCTGCGCCCCCCCCTAGGGGCAAACAAGACGGCGGCGAGGCCGGCAACGGTCTCGTACGCGGCGGCCACAGCTGCCGCATCCAGGCCGGGGCCGTCCAGCCAGCCTTCGGGCGGGGCTGCAGTTGCCCCTCCTCCCCCTGAAAAGCCGGCTCCGGCAAAACCGGTACCGGCTGAACCGGCTCCGGCTAAGCCGGCAACGGGAAAGAGAGGCAAGGCGAAGACAAAAAAGGGCAAAGCGGCAGCACAGGTGGTGGCTGCGCCAGCCCCAGTGCCTGCGGCGAATGTGCCAGGGCCAGCGGCAAGCCAGCTGCCGCCGCCGCCACCGCCCCCTCAGCTCCCTACACCTCCCACGGCTGAAGCCGGTTGGCAGGTGGTCGGGGACAAAAATAAGGGGAAGAAGGCAGCCAAAAAGGCCAAAGAGCAGGAGCGGCAGCGCCAGTTCAGGGCGCGCAAGATGGCGGCTAGGCTCCGCGCCCCGAAGACCGCAGCTGTAGTGATTACACTACAGCCGGACGCGGAAAAGAAGGGCGTTACCTACCGCGATCTGCTCGCGAAGGCGAAAGAGGCGGTGGATCTCGGGGAGGTCGAGATCACCGGGGGCCTCCGGCTCAAAGTCACCCAGACGGGGGCCCGTATGCTGGAGATCCCCGGGGAATCCAGTGGCGCGACCGCGGACGCTCTGGCTGCGAAGCTCAGAGCGTCCCTGGACGCGGACGAGGCCCGAGTGTCCAGGCCCGTCAGATGCGCAGACCTGCGCATCATGGGTCTGGACGACTCGGTATCGGAGAAGGAGTTAGTGGCCGCCGTCGCCAGGTCCGGGGGGTGCACTACTGACCAGGTCAGGTCAGGCGCCATACGCCCGGACCAACAGGGTATGCATGCCGCCACGGTGTGCTGCCCTGTTACGGCGGCCAAAACCATAGTGGAGGGCCGAAGGCTTCTGGTGGGCTGGGTCTCAGCGCAGGTTAAGCTGCTGGAGCCCAGACCTCTGAGGTGCTACCGCTGTCTCGTGGGGCACCACGTATCTGTGAAATGCGCCTCGGAGGTTGACCGCAGTGGCCTTTGCTTCCGCTGCTGTCAGCCCGGACACATATCGGCGACCTGCTGCGCCACGCCGCACTGTGATGCATGTGCGGCGACCGGCAAGCCAGCCGATCACCGGGCCGGAAGCAAGGCCTGCGTGCCACCCGCCAAGGCCAAGGCCGCGGGTAGGGGAGGGCCCTCCGCCGCCACCGCCTCTGTGGCCACCACCGCAGTCGCGACTGCCGCCGCCGCCGCCGCCGCTGTCACTGTCGCTGCCGCCGCCGCCGCGACACCGACGCCCGCAGAGAGGCGCCCCGTGGAGGAAGCTCAAATGGAATGCCTATAACGGCCCCATTAAGCTTCCTCCAGGCGAATATCAACCACTGCGCCTGCGCTCAGGATCTGTTGCTCCAGAGCATGGCGCAGTGGTCGATCAACATCGCTGTGGTCGCTGAGCCGTATTTTGTCTGGCCTAGGGAGGACTGGGTGGCGGACCTTAACGGCTCAGTGGCCATCATTTCTTCAGCCGCCGCCGGTACCCCGACCCTTGAAGGTGTCAGGAGGGGTCAGGGGTGCGTAGCAGCACGGTTCGGGGAGTTCGTCGTTGTGGGGGTGTACTTCTCCCCGAACCGATCTCTCGCCGAGCTCCACAACTCTCTTGCAGAGCTGAGAGCAGTCGTCGTCGGAAGCTATCCCCTCCCCGTGCTTGTCCTCGGGGACTTCAATGCCAAGAACTTGGCTTGGGGTTCTCGTCGTACAGATGTGCGGGGTAGGATGGTGGAAGACTGGGCTCTGGAGACAGGCCTGGTCGTCCTAAATCGGGGTTCTGTCCCCACGTGTGTGCGGATGCGGGGC